CTCCTCTTTCTCCTCCACATCCTCTCTCCTCTCTTCTCCTCCACATCTTTCCTCCTCTTCCTCCTCCTCCACATCCTCCTTCTTCCTCCTTTTCTCCTTTTTCCTCCTCTTCTATATTCTTCTCCTTCTTCCTCCTCTTTCCTCTTCTTCTCCTTCCTCCCCCTCATCCTAATTTGTGCCTCAGCCTTCTCCTCTCCCCCCTCATCTTCCCCTTCCCTTTAACTCAGATCCATCCCGACTATATTCCTAATTTCCTAAAATTCCCTTCTCCCCTCTTCCTTCCTTCGTTTTCCCTTCCCTTTCTTCTTTTCTCTCTTCGTCCCCATCCTCTGGCATTTTCCCCTTCGTCTGGTCTGTATGAATCGCTGTGTATATATTTTATTCTGGTAATAAAATATGACTTTGTATCCGGTTTATAATTTGTTCCTCAGTAAGCCATTTTATTAATCCTTTTTAAGAAAATAACTGAATAAGATACGATATTGATGGAAATGATGATGTCAGTGATAAACGATGATGATGATAATCATTAACAATGGTATTACAGCTGTTCATAATGATAATGATGATATTAATGAAGGAATGGTTATGAGATGATGATAGCGAAGCATTGCCGATGCAATGGTGATGATAAGATAAGAACAACAAAATAACGATAAACGAAGTGATAATAACGAAATAATGATAATGATGCAATAATGATTATAAAACAACAACAAAATAACGATAAAAAGAAGTGGTAATAACCATATAATGATAATGATGCAATAATGATAATAAAATAACAACAAAATAACAATAACGGAACGATGATAACGAAATAATAACAATGACAATGAAATATCAACACCAGTGAAAGTACAGCATATAAACGGAAAAAATCACCACCAGCGTCTGCCTAACTTTCTCTACCATGAGTTGGCGTCGCACAATAATAGGCCTCATTACAGCGCTCTTGAAAATCTTTATAAATCATTTCGTTAGGCTGGCTTGTCGTGCGCATCGCGAGAGGCACTTTCCCTGATTGTGTGACGTCATCGATATGCTGGCTGAGTCCGTGGGTCTGCTTGGGGGGGTGTACGCGGAGGCGCGGAATACATCCTATGTATTCAAAACAGATATGTGTTTCTCTATCTGCATATTCATCTTTCTATGCATATGTGCACGCACACACACACACACACACACACACACACACACACACACACACACACACACACATATATATATATATATATATATATATATATAGAGAGAGAGAGAGAGAGAGAGAGAGAGAGGAGAGAGAGAGAGAGAGAGAGAGAGAGAGAGAGAGAGAGAGAGAGAGAGAGAGAGAGAGAGAGAGAGAGAGTATATAAATATGTATACACAAACAGATATATATGCATGTGTGTATATATATACTTACATACACACGCACACATATACCCATATATACACAACACGGGTATATGTGTCTGTGTGTGTGCTTATTCATGAATAAAGTAATATCTCAAAAAAACAAAAAAACAAGGAACAAAAGATTAAAAACTCTCCGTTATCTCGACTTTAACGAATCATAAATACCAGAGTATTATACAGATGTTTACTGAATACCATCAATGGAACATGAAATATAGACATACATAAAATTACTGGTATATATCCACGGTAGGAATCCACAATGAAACCACCGAAATAAGTAGGCTCGAAAGTATAAGGAAGTAGTTATGAAATGCAACTGCGCCCCGATTTTGCCTTAATTGGCCATAAAGAGGAACCGCGGATTCGTATAACGGTCTCACGAACCGCTGAAAAACCGCACGTGGCCGGTCGGAGGCTGCGTTGCCCTTGAACCTCCACCGAGCTAGACTGATGTCCAGACGTACAGATACACACTTGCATACACACATACACATACACACACTTATATATATGGTATATATACATATATGTATGCATGTATGTATATAATGTGTATATATATGTACATATATGTATATCAATACACACACACACACACACACACACACACAACACACACACACACACACACACACACATATATATATATATATATATATATATATATATATATATATATATATATATATATATATATATATAGATAGATATATATGCGCATGTATGCATATTTATGTATATGTATATATTATGCATATATATATATATATTATATATATATATATATATATATATATATATATATATATATATATATAGTAAAGGTTTTTACTGCATCTGAGAGTACTCTGCCGGGTTGTGAGTTTCCCCTGTGCTGGCTGGGCGCTGTGGGTTGAGCTTATGTTGAGCTCTTACGGCAAGGCGGCTGGTCTCGCAGTCGGCCCAGGACTTTGCTTGTCATTTACGCAGGGAGATTCTCGCTGTGGAGGTGGAGTGATGGTTGCGGGTTATGACCATGGTTGTGATTTATATATATATATATATATATATATATATATATTATATATATATATATATATATATATATATATATGTGTGTGTGTGTGTGTTGTGTGTGTGTGTGTGTGTGTGTGTGTGTGTGTGTGTGTGTGTGTGTGTGTATGTGTGCATACATAAATACACACGAACACGCTCGGTCACACACACACATAAAATATACATGTGGGTGTGTGTGTATGTGCGTGTATGTGTATGTATGAATGTATACACATATATATTATAATATAATATATATATATATATATATATATATATATAATATATATATATATATATATGTTGCATTAGCCATACATATATGTGTGTGTGTGTGCATGCACGTGTATGTACGTTCATGTATGTTTGTAATATGTATGTATGTCTGATTATACACAATACACATGGCAATCCATCAGACTTGTGATGATTTAAGAACAAAACAAAAGGTCAGCCAATTTGCCTGTAGATGTCAACCGGATGTCATCAGTCCTTCCATTTAAATAATATCACTACAATGACTTCTAAAATCCAAGAGATTTTGTATCTGATTTACCCATAAATGGAATGAAATACTCCATAGAAGACACCAGGAAATTCGTTTAGTAACATAATTCTATATGATACGTTTTTGTCATGGTCGAGGCAAGGTCGGACTACGGAACAACTAAAATAATATATTCCCTTGTTCTTCCCTTCATTTCGTATTCCCTTCATGTATTTAGAATATCTAAATTATCATTAAACATCACTTCACGGTTTAGTCAAAAACTCACAATGTCAAGATTTCTAGAGCGAAACACAAGCCAATTTCTAGCACAAAAATATGAACACATTCCAAATTTCAAGTTACAAGTACCCACAAATCCTTCAGATACGATGTACAGAAGTAATAAGGCTTTTAACCCCCTGTCTTTAAGCCCTGACGCCATCCCAGAAGACTGTAATACATGATGAGTCTTAAGAATAGAATTGTCTCCCGTGAAGCTCCATTTTCTCTTACACTCTCAAGTACGGTTAACCACAAGGTCGAGTGGGCATGAGTCAGCACATTCGCGAAACAACCGTTATAGGGTAGTTGAGGATTATACGCGATACGCTACGTTGTGCTAATGAATCTAATGCAGATGATTTGAGATTTTTTTTCTTTTCTTTTCTTTGCCTGTTATAGCGTAATTTTTTTTGGGGGAAAGCCCTTTTCTCCCATCTATCTATTAATCTGTCTATATCACTATCTCTCTGTATATCCATCTATCTCACTATTTCTCTGTGCATCAGATTATCTCACTATCTC